AGACCCAGTGTGTAATCTGGGGGTCATCCTAGACTCACAGCTCCTGCTCAAAGAGCAGGTGGCAGCTGTGGCAAGGAGGGCCTTTGCACAACTTTGGGTTACGCATCAGTTACGCCCTTTCCTGGATCGGGGTGTCCTTTGAACTGTCACTCATGCCCTTGTTATCTCCCAGATAGACTACTGCAATGTGCTCTACATGGGGCTACCCTTGAAGAGTATCTGGAAGCTACAGCTGGTCCAGAATGCAGCCTCGCGGGCTATTTTGGGAGCCCCAAGAAGGGCCCACATAACACCGTTGCTCCGCGAGCTGCATTGGGTACCAGTTTGCTTCTGGGTCTAATTCAAGGTGTTGGTTATCACCTTTAAAGCCCTGCATGACATGGGACCAGGTTACCTAAGAGACCACCTCTCCCCCATGACTTCAACCCATCCCACCCGATCACACAGAGAGGGCACGCTTCGGACCCCCTCAGTAAAAGAACTTTGATTAGCAGGGTCCAGAAGGCGGGCCTTCTCTGCAGTAGGCCCCGCTCTTTGGAACATTCTGCCCCCGGAGGTGCGATTGGCCCCCTTACCCCTGGCCTTCCGGAGGGCTTTGAAGACCTGGCTCTGTCACTTGGCCTGGGGTGGGGAGGGAATACCTCAAGCAGGGAGATGGCTAGCCCCATAGTGGCCGGCTGTCCCCAGCCCGATTTTCCATCTTCTTGGATTTTCCTTTTTTAGTATTGTTCTTAATTCTAGTTGTATTATGTATTTTATATACATTTATAGCCTTAATGTTTTTTGTAAGTTGCCCAGAGTCCCGCACTGGGGGGAGATGGGCGGGGGAGAAATCCAACGAATAAATAAATAAATCGTTACAAAACTAATAATTGCTCAGGTCTGATTTCCATTTCTTTCACCCCCAACAAGTGAAGCACCCTCTGCCACAGATTTCAAGCAGTAGACTTTAACGTTATGGTCGGTGAAGATGATGGCAGAGTCACAGTGCTGAAAAGAGGTGCAACTGTATACTTACTGGGTTATTACCAAGACCACTGATTCCTCTACCCAATCTTTATCTTGAAAACAACACAGTCCAGATACAATCTATCCAAAGCAGTGGAAAATGCGCATTTGTTGTGGAAATGTGCCTGAATTGTATAAACAACTGCAGAGATCCAAGGAAATCAGCCAAGCCACATTAATGTTTGGGATTCTGAAAGAAGCAGTTACAGAGACACTGCAAGGAAAGACTCAAACATTATAGACTGGAGAAAAGTGAATATATTTCTCTTGAATCAATGCGTTACACCAAAGGAGTAGTAAATTACCATCAAATGATCCATCTGTGCCGGGTAAGCCAGGTGGGCCAGGACTGCCTTGTGGTCCCCTGTCTCCCTCAAGGCCAGGAATGCCATCCTTTCCCCGGTCACCAAGTACACCTGGAAAGATCCCCAATTTATAGTTTAAACCTCAGCCACATAAGGATAACTCCAGATTATCTCACATGTCACATGAATGTATTTTTAACACTTCAGAAATAATATGAACTGTTTTATGACTAGTTAAAAAACTGGTTTTCTAAAGCTAAGCTTATTAAAGCTACTATATCCTATACGCCAGTGTTGTCCAAACTTGGCCACTTTAAGATGAGTGGACTTCAACTCCCAGAATCTCCCACCCGAATTCTTGGGGTTTAAGGCCACTCATCTTTAAAAAGGCCAATTTTGGCAAAACCAGCGGATAGGGGATAGGATGT